CCACAGGGCATGTTTATTTATACAAGAGACCACATATTTCCTTGTTTAGGAACTTTAATGAAATCATAATCTGACACAAAGACTATATTAAAGATCTGTTTCAGTTTAGAATGATAAACAAGCTGGTTCTAAATCTCAAAATACTGTTTAAGAAGAATTAGAATGTCTGATTGTAGTGAGTATTTGTACTGAATTACTGCATAATAAAACAAGAGAAGTGGGGAAAAAGCTTTTATCCCTGCCAAGAAGATGGAGTCAATCAGCTTGTGGTTGTGTACTGCGGCACTGTTTTTCCTTTGCTCTGACTGCTGAATGAGCTACACTGGCAAGTTAGACCTTGCAAGCATCTATTGATTTTATCCACATTTTTTGGTGAACAAGTGATTAGCTTTCCGATTACCTTGATCAGAGGATAAATACTGATGTGCTCCGAGTATCTACAAACTAAAGTTTTCATCATACTGTAACCCGAAGGAATCAAAATACTTAGGGTGTTGGTTTGTTTAGGGCATCTCTTGATCACTCTGATGCATCCATTAACTTTCTATCTGTAACATAGACTGTATGACATATTTAAGGTGCTTTAGGGTTTGGATCTTAGTATTCTCATCTAGAGAAAAGGAGTGTGTCCTCCCTTCCAGATGCTTTCCTTGTGTGCTTATTGCCATGCTGGTTTATCCACAAGCCTTTTGGCAGCAACAGGAACCAGTCTGATATGAATAGATTACCTGGAACCCCCTGAATTTACTGCATCTCTAACAGGCAAGTTCAAAATCCTGTTCGATCTTCCAATAAGGCTGGTGTTTAATTTCAGAGATGTTACAAGAAATAGAGTGTCAGCAGTTGAAATTAGACGTAGAGCCCTGACTAGGTCTAATTAGAAGTAACGTACCTCTGTAGAAATTCCTTATTCATAGGCCCTTGCAGGTTTTTTTTACTATAAATGGAAACATAATTTCCAGTGTTTGTTGACCCATATTGATGGATTTATATTTATTTACAAAATTAATTGGAGCTGATGTGGTTTACCAGAAAAATCTAGTTAAGGAAACATTTTCAGATGTGCATTTACATTCAAGTACTAAGCTCAACCAAAAAGTGTGTGTCGGTTGTGCATAATTGGAGTAAATATTTTTTCAGGTTTCATTCATTTGGAATCTAGGTTACAATGCTGGATAAAATAATTTAAGAGCTGTTTGAGTACTTTGGACTGGAAAATCTTCTTTTTATTTGTACAGGAAGTATTTCTCAGTTATGTGCAATGACTGGACAAAAGTAACAAAGTTGCAACATTGAATTTAATTAAAGTGACCGGGTCATTCAGGTCTTGTTGGAGGGGAGTTTATGGGATTTTCCAAAAGTGGTTCATAAAAGAGTTCTGATTTGCATTTACAGTGAGCTTCTAAAATGGTGCCAATTATTCAAAATTAGAGTAAATATTTTTTCAGGTTTCATTCTTTTGGAAGTGAGGTTAGAACATTCAGTGAAAATTTTCAATGGCACTTCTTACTAAACCGGGTACATGTGTGTGGGAGGTAGTAAGAAACTCACTAGAAACGTCTGTTTGGTGTTCCAGGCAATTTTTATTTTATATGAAAAAAATGCCAAGCCCCTCAGTAGGAAGTCAGCTGTAACACTGAGAAAAAACATGTGACACTTCAAGTTTTGGCCCGTTAATTTTTTCAGCTGCAAATAGGTACAGTAATTACTTTCATCCATCAGCGGACCATTTGCCCACTCTACTAAACCAAGGTTTAGCAACTCCGGTGCTGGGGTCACTAGCATGGCAATGACTACACCTGGCCACGAATGTGCACAAGGAGGGGTGACTCTGACATTTTGCCCCATGCCGGGGAGCAGAAGTGGTGAGTGGCCCCTGTGGGGATCTGCAAATAGGTACAGTAATTACTTTCATCCATCAGCGGACCATTTGCCCACTCTACTAAACCAAGGTTTAGCAACTCCGGTGCTGGGGTCACTAGCATGGCAATGACTACACCTGGCCACGGATGTGCACAAGGAGGGGTGACTCTGACATTTTGCCCCATGCCGGGGAGCAGAAGTGGTGAGTGGCCCCTGTGGGGATTCCGGAGGATGCATTCGCCTGCTCCAACATCTGTTTCATGCCCTCGTAAGGGATGGGCAGCGGGCTGGGGGCGGGGGTGTTCTGGGTCTGGATTCAGCTGGCATTTGATGTCACAGTGAGTTAATAATTGTAAGGGATTTTCAAAATGGAGTGACTTGTGGTAGTGTTGAATTGGGCTGACCCATGGCTTCTTAAAAAGTAGGAAAAATGGATTTGGGAAAACACAATACCTTACTAATTCATCCCCCCTGTCTGTACCTCTGTTCTTTGGATTACGATATCCCCTGCTTTTTGTTGTATTGCCTTTCCTTCTTCCAAATTTTTACCGTATCAGAATGAAAGTTAGTCGGCATAAAGCATACATAAAAATGTCAAGGAGTTTGGAAACAGCGAGCTTGATGCATCGAAGTTTATTCCAACATACTGGAATGGTCGGTCTAATGACAGTAACTTACAGAAAGAATGACGATTCTCTGGAGAAAATATTTTTTTCATTTTTTTCTCTGATATCAAAAAAATGAAAAATGTTTGATTTTAACAGTTGTAAAATAATATGTAATGTTGCTATGAAGCCTAGCTAGCTGTTCCAAAAGTTTCATTCGGCAAACATCACATGACTACATTCACAATAAAACTTGTTAAAGTGAAATATCACAACTTTGGTATTTGTTATTTCAACATCACATTGATAGGACTGTCCTTCATTTTTAATAGGTAACCTTATACATATTTATTGGGGTACTATTACAGAAGCTTTCCAATCATACTGATCTTTTAGATCATGCTTACTTAAGTCAGCATTTTCAAACTCACCTAATTTAGTCACCTGCAGTGAAATTCTGTCGTCTTTGATTTTGATTTCACTTTTTCCGTTTCATTGTACAGGATGAAGATTTCACTTATAGTCTGTATTTAGGCACTTAAGTTTGTGGTCTGTTTTTTTTTAGATTTGTCAAACACACATAATTCCCACTAAAGTCAATAGATGCCATATATGCTCAGCATTCCTGGCACCTGGATTTAATTTTGGATATAATTCTGCAGATATTCCATGGAGAGAAAGTTCTGTATCTGCCCAGAATTAGCAGGAAGGACTACATTCAGATGCTGACCTTTGCAAAGCTCAATCAATGATCATGTAGGGTTGGTTTCCCCCCCCCTGAACTACCCTATATGCTATTGTGCCATTTTTCTGTAACACCTCTGTCTCTTGGTTTTAAACATTCTAACTTTGCATGTATGTCTTCAGCTTGTGTTAGCATATTATCAAGTATATTACTGCTGCTACCAAAATCACTCCAGCATATTCTGCCTTAAATCTCATGCATGCAAATTTCATTGGAATTCCTGTAATAACATAGATCAATATACTGATATGGCCAGTTGTAACTCTTTATGTTAACCTACACAGAAGTTTTTTGTGGTTTGTTTTTTTTCTGACATAGGCTCTCTCTATTTTAGAAATGCTCATTTTGTTTTATAGATACCAGAATTGCCAAGTCCAGTCATTAGTTTTGCTGCAGGAATTCTTGAAGGTCTTAAAGATGTCTATCATGACTTCTTACAATGTTAATGGAGGTGATCATCTTTATCTGTTAACAGGAATCAGACTGTGCTAGCCGTACTGCCTTCTCCAGGTAGAGCTTGGGCAGGAATGGCATAAATACCAACTTGGAGTTATGCCAATTAGATTTATATCACCTTTGCTATTTTAATACCTCACATGGCAAACGTTGTCAGTAAAACTTAGTACATAAATAAAAGCATCTGCTTTGTCCGTGACCCTTCGCAGGGCAAATGTTACCTTCTGATCAGCAAAACTGCAGATAGCCAGTTGTTTTGAGAAGTTCAGGAATAGGGACAAGCCATATTTATTTGTTTATTTATTTGGTGTCAGAGAAAGATTTAGAAATATGATTTCAAATGATAAAAAATTATCCAAATTAACACTGAGCCACGCGAAGCCCTATCTTCTCTTTAATAATGTACAGTAGCTGTCAATTATGTTTAGAATAAACCAGGACAGTTTAGAATAATGCTTCTATTCCAATTTTCATAACACAGCTATATTACAGCAAACATAAATGTTACTTTTAAGAACTCTACAGATCTGCTTCACTTTAATCTGTTCTTTTAAAAAATACTGATTTTTCAATTAGATGCTTAAATATATTTGAAATTATAACAACAGAAGCCAGCCTGAAGTACAATAAAAAAATTAAATGTCTGCTTTCAATGCATTTTTGCTACACAAACCCACAAGATCAAATACTAACACCGTAAGCATATTTCTGGCACACACATAAAAATAATCACATAATGCACACCCAGATGTTTATCAGTAAACTATGCTGCTGAATGCTCTGAACAAGGGCTGTGACTCCAAAGAGCAGATAGATTCAGCTCCAGCGGCTGCAGTGGTTGCTGCCCCAGATGTCTGCCAGAGGTTACCATCCCTCTGCTGCTCCTCAGCTGCGACAGTTCTCAGCTCACCAGACTAACTCACAGACTAACTCGCCAACTACTACACCGTTGCACTTTCTGCGGAGAGAAGAGATGCCACGTGCAGCTCTCCAACATCTGGCAGGGAGGCAGGCAAGGCAACCGGCATAAGGAGTTAAAACCTCTGGCAGCCAAGGCTAGATCTATCTAGAATTGCAAATCAGAGCCCTAAGATAAAGTTCAGTCAGCTTGAATATGCCTACCACATACTAGTGCAAACCTACGCTCTATGGCTTGCAGTGGCCTGAAAGGAAAAGCAAACCTTTTAAAAGTAAAGTGCAGCAAAACTGTCTATGCAGAAACGGCTGTGAGTTTTTAAGTCGATGAGTTCAGGATTAATAAAACGTGCTGACCAAGCCAGATTGTGACCCTCATTGCGCAGGAAGAGTCTTTCCTTTTGGAGATTGCACACTCATACTTTTTTAGGATTGATTTCTTTCTGGCCATTTCTTATTTTAGTGGCCTTTTTGGGGCCACTGGCCAGCAGATTGGTATTCTTGGTTGATGGGTTTGGGACTCCACTCCGACCACTGCGTCCTGCATTCTGGTTCTTACTGCGGGCTGTTCGCAGCTTTTGCTCTTGCAGTCTCTGTTCCCACCTCTGTGAAAATGCAGAAAACAAAGAGGCTGAGTTACAGAAAGACATTGCCATAAATAATTACATCTTAATCTAAGCTATCCCGAATCTTTGACACTAATGCTGTTCTTACTGGTTTTGTGCTCTATCCTGCAGGGCCATTGATCTCAGCGTGATATGGCTGTTGGCAGGGAGAACCTGCCACGCGTTCTTGGGTGGAGGAACTTCCACAATACCAGTTGATAAAAATAACAACTGCACATCTTGTGTGCATGCTGCCTGTGAGTGCACATCTCATCTTTTCAGAAATCCAGGAGAGTTGGCATCATGCCATCAAAAAGACAGGGTCTGCACACCAGGACTCCTTTGCAAAGCCATTCTTCGCTGTCTTACTGAACGTGCTACTTTACTTTTCCTCAGAAAAGTCTGCAGAAAGCAGGCAATCCTTTCACAATATATATTTAAACACACAGCAACAAGAGAAGGTGGTATTTACTTTCTGGTTCAGCTTTTCCCTGGGGTGGAGAGGACTGGGCATAAAAGAGCTTATGTTACGGACAGACAACGGAGGTGACCACTGAATTCAGAGTGTTCGGAGTTGCAATGGGACAATTGTGAATAATGCACCTGCAGCTTTATTCAGCAGCGTCCTTGAGAAATTTGAAATGCAATTAGATTAACGAGCCCACCAAAGAGAATAGCTGTCAGATTTTTAAACCCGAAAGTGCAGCAGTTAGAAAGCAAGGTTTTACAGTGAGGTTAAGTCGTTAGGTAGTCCACAGTATGGAGAGATCCACAACACTGCAGCAGAGACTGCAGTCTTTCACCTCTAGGAACAGAAATACTTATTTTAAGGAAAGCAAGGTAGATAACAGAACCTGGAAGGGGTCTCATCTTTCCCCTCTATTAATGAACTTTCTCTTCGGAAGCTCCCAAAGGCAGGCATTTTGCCCGGTGATCAGAGCAAGAGAAGCACTCTCCAGCTTTACTCTTTAGTATCTGCACTGACTCTGTTGCTACTCAGACTCTTGTCCTGGCTAGAGAAGACACCAGCCATGTTGTGGTTATGCTAACAGATGTCTTCTGTGGTCCACAGACAGCTCAAAACATGCATTTTAAATGGTAACTCAAGATTAAAGTTGGATGCAAGTCTTCAGAGATGAATGACGGGCGTTAAAATGAAGCCACTGTGAAACCTAGCTCCATACTGGCCATATTTGTGTAGTCAGGGCCATTATATGCATCTTTATAAAACAAAAACTATCAGCAGGCATTTAGCTGTGTCCCACTCAAACATGTTTAAATGAGGATTTAATTTATGAAACTATTAATATTAGAAGCAATGACACAGGCTTTGAGAAGTATTTTGTTCGGCAGTCATTCATGCATCTGTTTGATAGGTTGGAAATGAATGCCCAAACAGGTTTCAAGAGACAATTAGAAATGTCAGAACAGTGTGAGGAGGGCATTAAAACATGCTGTGTGCCAGTACCAGGCCATGAAGTGGACAGCTAAGGGACTTCAAGAGTCCATGTCATATGTCAGTATTCTCCTAAATCCCACATGGTATCATAACTAATTGCAATATATTTACGTTTTAAAGATTTGAAGCTTGTTTTCTTTTTCACATGTAGGTTTTACATGAGTAAGTGAGGAGAAAAGGGAATGATGAAAGCATCAAACACAATTTCCTGCAAGAAGCTGGTCTGTAATCTAAAAGCTTCCACTGATGGAAAGATGCATCATTTTTCTCCTCTCTATCAATTGCCAATCAGCCCATAATTAAAATAAATATACATGCATGTCCTTAATGCTCTGAAACCTTTCCTGAATTTCAGAAATTATTTTCTTCCATCTCTAAAAGTGTGAGGAAGAGTCAGACATTGTCATGATCCACCCTTTCTTTCCATTATAAAGAGGAGTTTACAAGCACGGAGTGATAGCAGGTGCTATCCTGAAGCCCCAAAAAGCAGCAGCATCTGCTGCTCCTGTCTCCCAGGTCTCCACACTATAGATTTTTCCTTCCAATGTTCCCTGAAACCAGTGAGGGGACGCCCAATACTTTTAGTGGGTCTTTAGTGGGAAGCAGATGGTGAGAACCTGTGTCTCAGGCCTGCAAACTTTAATGCAGCAAAGCCCATTTATCCAGTGCAGGGGATGTTAACTTCCTTTCTTACCTAATGTGGACTACATACTCATCTGCACATCACCTATCTGACAGTTACTTGCCTTAACAGTGATAAGAAAGGAATTCCCAGAGTCATTATTGTAATAAGCCAGAGTTCACGCAAAGATCATCCAACCATCCTGTTTAGGGATAGTTTGCGGACAAAATAGAAATAAAATTTCAGAGGCCCTAAAATGCAAGACCAAAATTTTCAAGTTTTCACTTACACTTATATGTAGTACCGGGTATGAAAATGTTGAAGTGAAAATAATCATACCTAGAGGTATTATGGATATCTGAAAGTCAAGCAAGTTATTCGATGCTGAAGTAGAACAAAGGTGTTTAACTTTTTATCAAGAATATCAGCATTCTTTTCTGTGGTTGTATTTACCTTAAATCTTTTGTTTAGTTGATCCTTCCATTTTTCAACTAGACACCCATCAAGAAGCATCAACCTGAAAATTAAGAAATAAATACAAGTTACAGGTAGTTCTGGGCTTGATTCCTGAGATGTCCTTCCAGATGATTTAACGCAGACTGAAACGCACCAGCAGGTACTGGTACTGACAGTTCCTGTGTATGGGATGATAGGCACAAAAATATTTTTCTCCATCCCTAAATGCTTTCTAATGGCTTTCTAAATGCTTATACTGCTCCTTCTGAAATTCTATTCTAAACTCTGTAAAAACAGAAAATAGTTTTCAAAAGAAATCAGATTTTACAGTGAAAACTGCAGCACATGACTAGTATTGAGAAAACATTTAGAGCCCTTTGTCCTCACCTGAAGCTATTCTGCAGGGGAAAACTGTCCTGTCTTGATCACTGTTAACAACAAGTGACGGGTTGGGTAACATGCCATGAAACTGTTTAAATGTATATGTACATATATTTTTACTGATACCCACTATATGTTTGTGTGTGTGTGTATGCAGAAGAGTAGAGTAGATTAAATTAACGTATTTTACTTCTGAATTTAAAAAAAGCGCTATGTTTCACATGCACCAGTTAATACAGCTCACGTGACGAATGGCACCACTTTACCTGATCACAGCAGTTTGCTGGTGGCTGAGGTTTACACAGCGTAGCAGGACCTGACTTTCCAGTTTCTCTGCTCATGCCAGTTCAAAAAGACTACAAAATGCTGCCACTCTTAGCCATTAGCCACTATGCATCCACTTTGCCCAAACATAAAAGGACTACAGTGAGCACAAGCCCTGGAGAATCAGGATGAATACGATACACATCCCTTCTCTGAGGAGAGATTAGACAATTAACATATAAGATTGAAGCTAAACCCACGTCATGATGAATGAAACCCCAACACGGTATACACCTGATGTAGTTTCTGTTCAGGTCAAACTATTGAGCGAGACCCTAACCCCACTGATGGGCAATGGGTGTTTTGCCATTGACTTCAGTGGAGCTACAGCTTCCACCCGCTTTGCCTCTGACATTTTAAAAAGCTACTGTAACTCAAAACCTTCTGTTTGCATGCAACTGAGTTCAACAGGAAACACATATAATAGTTTATGTTTCTTTTTCAAATCCATTTTAGTACACTATATGAAATTAAAAACCTCAGTGACCTTTAAAAACCATCACAAAGTATTTAGTGAATGGTGTGTTTTTCCATATGGAGAAGCAGATTGCAATCTTTCACTCTTGAAATCTCCACACCCTGACAGCATCCTGAGGGTCCTCTCCAACAAAGCTCTGCAGCTCAGAGCTCCTCAATCGCAGTCTTGGTTGTGGTCCCTCTGCGTGACTCAGAAGAGCATGTATCCTTAAAATATCTAACACAAGTAAAGGGCTCTAAATTAATCTTTGTGAAATACTTCCAGATTTGGAGGGGAAAGATGCTGTGTAATAATAAAATACTCTGCCTGTTAGACCACAAAAAAAAAAGTTAAGGTAATAAGGTATCAGATGGCAACTTTTCGAAACACCTATGAAATCCTTTTAAAATATCAACATAAAACTCATTGAAAATAGGGATATGGCCCACCAAGTTCTGCACGTAGATGTTCTATGGTTCTTACAAGTGCACATGTTGAATTAACGGTCACATCACTGTATGCAAAACCAGCCTGTACATTTTACGAACAGTCTTACACCTGACCCACAGCACACAGGCCCATGTACCTACCACACCACAACCTATCTATCCTGTTGGCATCTGTTGCTACTGGTACACTTGGGGTGCTAGCGGGGATGGGATGTCCCCTTCTGCCTCAAGAACCCAGAGAAAAAAAGGGAGCTGTGATTCATGACTCCCTCCCCTCCAGACCAACATGCTGGATTTCCTTCCATGCCTGGGGCTAGGCCGACTGCCAGATGAAAGGTCTGGTAAAGTCAGTTTTGTTTTGTCTTTTAATCATACAGCAGGACTGGCAAGCTGCTCTGAGAGTATTTACTTTTCATCTGCCATCCGGGAGCCGGAGCTCCAATGGCTGCAGCTTTGGCTGCTCCCAATACAGCTGTGGGATCAGAAACATCTCACTGATGGCACCGTTCCGAAGTATGGATAGGCCAGTGGAGAGGGCCTGCCTCTGTCTCCAGCAGCTCTGCAGACTGGAGGTGTGCACCATCTCCTGTCCCATCTTGTAGGGTTGGTGAGGCAGAACTGTGCCTTCGCCGTGGTCCTGCCAACATGGACCACCATCTACAGCTACCATCGGGCTTGTGGCATATGAAGCAGCTCATACCTATGGAAAGTGGTCCTGGAAAAACACTCCCAAACAGCTGGAGATGCCTGAACTGCTGCACGACGCGTTAAGCAATATGCTGTCAGCACCTAATGCCACCAGGGTTTACGCTCCATGTGTGAGCCAGGTTTTGTGAACACCGCATTGTGGCTCAGAGCTGAGGCTGATTAAGTGGAAAAAGTTAACTGCGGAGATAATTGAAACACGTAGGTGTATGTGTGCGTTATCCTGAAAAAAAACCTATCAGCGAAACATGCTCATGATGAGGAAGGGAGCTTTGCTGGTCCTCCTTCTCGTCTATCACAGCTAGCTATAAGAATTTTCTCCACCGCATCGCCAGGGCTCACCTTGAGCGCCATTCATAGCACATGATGAGAACATCCTGCTTTGGTTGAAGAGGTGGACACTGGCAGGAGGAATTTGTAAGAAGAGGCACTTGAGACAGAGGAATTGGCGTCGAAGATTTAAGTATGTCTTTGACTTCAACCATAGTTGTTATCTCATTGCAGTTCCCTCTTTCTACGCTTTTTACTTTAGCATGAATGACTGCAATTAGAAAAATAGAGGCATGAGAACAACAATCAATCTTAGAGACTTAAACACATCTTAAAATTAAATGAAACGTACTAAATCGAAAGCTGTTGTTTTGGCTGTGAAACTAGAACTATTTTTTCATGTGTGGGCACATACAGTGGCTTAGAATAACAGAGGCTTGATCTCGATTTGGTTTTCATTTAGGACTGTTGACAACTGTGAAATTAAACACATGCCTAAATCTTTGCCAGATCAGGCCAAGCGATCTCACCTGGAATTGCACACACAAACAGCTCCTTTGACTCAGACTTGAACAACCCCTCGCATAAATTGGACCCATTCTATAGCCACAACTGGCTATTTCCAATTAAGTAATGAATAATTTACCTCACAGACAGTTAGCATGAATCCAGTCTTTTCAATAATAAAATCATTTCCCTGTAGGTTGCATCCAGGAACTAAAGTATTTTCTTGAATACAAGAAAGAAGGGAAGGTTTAAAACAAGTAGTCAAAAACTAAGAGGCTTAGGATTGTCGTGATTTACTTATAGGTTTTTTTCATCTTTTGCCTTTGAATTATCCATCAATAGTAAGATCCTCATATAAACCAGACTCTGAAATGGGTTCTTCTGACTATGAATAAACAAACATTCATATTTTTACTTTCTATGGAGGAAAAGTGCATGTCCGCACGGCTGCAAGAAGGTGAAACTGTGCGGATTGCTCTGAGGATGATCTCCTGGCTAACTTAGTACCTGCGAACCCTGGCAGTACCTACTACTGCAGTACTTCACCCACTTTCTCTGGTGAGAAGTGCCAAACCAGAGAAAGGAAACGCAATTTTTACAGGAAGGACTTTGTCTCTAGGAAATCTCACAATAGGATGGATACTGTTATCGCAAAATTCTTCTGTGAAAGAAGCGTGAGCAGTGTACCACAGGGTGATCAGCCCGCAGCAATGCTGCCCCTGGCAGCCACCAGGTCAAAAGCCTTCAAAAGGACCTCCAAATGTTTAGGATAAATTTCTCATGTAGAAAACAGGAGACCAGCAATTTTAATGCAGTCTAGGGTTTATGTGCTAACTTTATCAGGGCATGTGTAACAGCCACAAAATACATGAGGGATTTCCATTTCAGAGACACACAATCCATTTTCAAGTCTTATTGAAACCAAGTTCTGACCAGCTAGAAATAAAATGTGGCTGTAAATATTATTTTAAAGGATTTCGGAGAAATTTTGATTTTATTTGCAATTTGTTCTGCCTTGTCTTGTCTCTCAATTCATTTTCCATATGAACATGCCTATTTAGGATGAATAAAAATCTACCTCTCAAAACCAAAATCTGAATATTGCAAATTCAATGGAATTAAATTTTGGACCCCAACCTACAGTTATTATCCAAGCAACACTCCCACTGAAGTCACTGGAATCAGAATTTATATGACTAACACATGTATTTCATTTTGGAATAGTCATTTTCTATCAGTTCTTTTTCATATATTTCAGACAGGTGTGGAAGTTCATTGTCCCACCTGAACATATCACTATGTTGCACTGAGATGGATTAAGGAATTACACAAAAAGAATACATCATACAAGCGCATCAAAATGCCATGATAAATGTATACAATTACTTAAGTTAGATGTTTAGCTTGATTATTCCCACTAAACTGACTTGGATTTTTTTTTCCTTATACTAACAAAGCAGCAAATAACTACAAACTTACTTCATTTGCTATCAGACAAATAGGAACTGACTGGATATAATAACCCTATTGCATAAAAACTGACTACATCCCTTGAAGAAACAACTTTTATCTGAGAAAAACCCCATAAAGTGCAAAAGACCATGATACCGCATGTTAAATTCACAGTTATTAGAGGGTTTCTATTCACATTACAGATGTTTAATCTGGTATTTATCTAATCTTAATTAGACTTTTCTTGACTCCCAGCATCAGAAAACCAGAGCAGGGGGGAGCTGGGGGGAAGAGGGGTAAATACTTACTGTACTGCCAATATGTCATGCAACATGATAAAAGTTGCAAGTCCTTGGCTGGCTGGTGCAAATTGTCACCGAATTCAATTAATCTCCAACAATTCAGCACCAGATGAAACTCTGGCTAGTAAGTAAAAGAATCTATGAATTTCTAAGTAACAATTTTTTACCTTGCTTCAGCTTTGTTCACATTTACAAGTTTTATTTAGGTGATAAATTTCTGTTTATTCCACCTGCTGGACAAAAGCAGGAGCTGGCCGAGCAGCACACAGTCAGGCTCACATTAGGTGCCAATGCACTTACTGGAGTGACCTTTACAGCAGCAAGCACAGTTTCTGCAGAGCGACCTGTTGATCCCAGTGCACATTACCGACATTTCACTGGTTTCATCAGAAACACACCATCATCTGCGCAATGACTGCTGCCCACACGAGCTGTGTGCAAGCGGTGGGTTTCAGAAGAGGAAAGTTAGGTGTCCTCGGGCCAAAACCCACTTGGAAAAGCTGCGGTGGAGCACTGTCCTCACACCACATTTGCTGGACGTGGCCTGGTGTGGGTGCGGCACCCACAGGGAGCTGCCTAACTCGCAGGGGGCACAGAGGGGGACGGGACAGGCAAAGCGAAGCATTTTCCCCCGTGCACTTACTGTAGCTGTAGTTCTTGGCCAGGTAGGTCGACAGCGTAGGCTTTGTCTTTTTGCACCTGCATCGCTCTTCAAAGGAAGAGAAGGGGAAACGGTTGAGGGGTGTCAGAGGGGGCCTG